TCTTTTGCTCTCATGACAGGAATAATAAGAGGTTGGCAGCCTGCTCAATATTGGACAACAGCCGCACAATCTGCACCGGTCCGTCGCCCGAGAAATGGATCACCTCCTGATAGTGCATATACCCCACTGCGCCGGCAAAACAGACCAGCACAAGGTCCACGAGACCAGCATGTTTTTGGAGCATAAGTTGTTCTGTTTGGTGTGAGTTCCGTGTTAAAACGTAGCACGAACGGGCAGTGTCGGTGATCATGCCAAATTTGTGGGCTTTGCAAAATGAGTCTCTGGAAGTTCAAATTTAAGGAGGTTCTTGTCGCGTGACCGATTCAAATGCACTATTCTTCTAATGCTGTGAGTAGTTGTGGAAACAATAGCAGTCGAAGAGGAGCGTTCTAAGACGACGCTGAGCGGATTCAGGCACCGAGGCAAAATAGGCGTAGGAGCCATCAAACGTCTGCTGTGGCTGCTCTCTTCCGCTTGAGACAAGTCGACCGGTGCCCAGCAGATTGTCAGACGGCACCGGATGCGTCTGACTGCTCCCCAGCAGACTGTCAGACGGCGGTGGACGCGTCTGACCGCCCCTCAGCAGATTGTCAGACGGCACCGGACGCGTCTAACCGCCCCCCAGCAGATTGTCAGACAGCGCCGGATGTGTCTGACCGCTCCTTAGCAGATTGCCAGACGGCGGCGGACGCGTTCGACCGCTCTCCAGCAGACTGTCAGACGGCGGTGGACGCGTCTGACCGCCCCTCAGCAGACTGCCAGACGGCACTGGACGCGTCTGACCGCTCTCCAGTAGACTGTCAGACGGCGGTGGACGCGTCTGACCGCTCTCCAGCAGACTGCCAGACGGCACCGGACGCGTCTGATCGCCCCTCAGCAGATTGCCAGACGGCACCGGACGCGTCTAACCGCTCTCCAGCAGATTGTCAGACGGCGGTGGACGACGGACGTGTCTGACCGCTCCTCAGTGCGATCCTCTTGCTGTAGGTCAAGCTCTAAGTCTGCTCTGTCTTGATCACTAAACTGGAGTGAGGTCCCATGATGCTTCTTTAACGCTAACGTTTTGGGTGTGTGGGGATTGGAAGGGATGAACGTGTGATAACTGATGAAGATGTGTTTTTACGGATGGCGGCTCACTCGATATTGGGGCTCGTGAAGAAGGGTACGCGCCTGCTCTTTGATAAGACAGAACAAATTTGGTACCGTAGACGCGGCAGCCAAGCTGGTGGTGGAAGGCCGATTATTTATTACGTAATCTGCAGTATTTTGGGACCAAAGTGGGGGCCGTGAAATAAAGGCTACGAAAGCGATCGACAGGGCGTGTTTGCAGGCCCCGAAGCCATTATAACATGTCCAGCAAAGAAGATGTCAAGCGTAACGCGGTTAGCAGCTTTTGCTACGTCACTTGCGTCACTTTAAATAGCTGACGTTATATCAGGCGCGATCTCCATCAAAAGCCTCCGACGGGAATGAATACGAAGGGCATGGATATGAATGATGTGGTTGCGATGTGATATAGCTTCTGGCATAATCTCACTGCCAATTAGATGCCCATCGACTTCATTTGATTTCATCTCCCGTCTCCATGGGCATGGTTTTGAATAAATTAAGATGCGGTGTAGCCAGGCACACGTTTATAAGATGCGACCAAAAAGCTCCAGAGCTGTGCCTTTAAAAATGTGTAGACGTGTCTCATTTAAATTTGGCAGGCATCCACTTTTTAAAAAAATCGCCTTATGCAGGGCCGCGTTGCTCCCAATGCACGAATGTCCCTGGAAAAGCCTGTGTTTAAGCAAGTCAAACATGCATCCTTCCGTGATATGCATTCATCCCGTCCCTGGCGTTTTCAACGATGGTATCAAAACAGGGATGTTGCCAATTTTTTTATTTATTTTACAAGCATTACAGTATCATCCAACGAGACCACCAAATGACCGTGATGTATGTATATCGTCCAGGTTGTATGCTGTACTCTATACGTGTAGTTCACCGTCTTAGACGTGCATTTGTGTGCCTATACGCATCTAGTTCCACTCGAAGGCAAATAATATAGTAGAATACGAAAAACCAGAAAGCACTCGAACATATTTGCACGCATTTCATTACCTGTTTGGCATTGTAGGGACGTAACACCATTCTTTAAAAGATGATCCGTTTGTTCGTTACAATAAGATCACAGTGTGTGTATGCGTGCAGTATTTGTCGTGCCGTTGTACACAACCTCTGCCGAAACCTCGTGGTATACACAGTTTACATATTATGGTGTACAACGGCACAGCGCGCATTAAGCTCACATTCCTGTCATCTAGTCATTGAGAAAGATAACTCAATGTATAGATAAGAATGATTATAACGAAAGAGTCGTGCGCTATGCCATATGTGACTATTCGTGAACAAAGATGTGTTTATCTCTTACGACAATGCCACGTGAGGTGTTTTCTGTATTCTAAAAGAATTGTCTTTATTCTCACTCTGGGTGCCAATCAGCGCTGAGGCAATGGCAATGCGCGTGAGCAGTGTCCGATAAAATGCAGTTGTATTTAAAAGGATATCTCCCGAGTAATATGCATATGTATATGCCGTTTTCCAAAATGCATAGCGTCAGTGTTGCTTCTTGGAATTGTATAGTAGCATATGTACTTAACATATAACTTATAGCAAAAAAGCACTCGCCATGGATTGTGGCGCACTGGGGCAGTGGGGTGGGTTCCGTCAATGTGGTTGGTCTTGACGAGGATTCGGCAGTGAAAGAAACGATATAGTTGTTCCCGAATTTTGTCGCTGACCTTTCTTCTTACGGCACCACATGCCTCCGCCTTTGTCTTCCCTCTTTACATTGGAATGACGCCTTTTCACTCCCCACCGCGACGAAGGATATCTGCTGGCATCCATTGCTGGGGCGTTTTAACGCACCCTCTTCGCGAAAAAGCGTCATTCCATGCACCCCTCCGACCAGACACTGCAGAAGATTGATGGTAAGCCGATGGGCTCGTTCGCCTCAAGAGAAAATGCCTGAACCAAGCGCCATGTAATCGAATTCCTTGAAGAGTTATCGGGCAACAGCTGTGGTTGGTAGCTGTGGCGTATGCTTAAACATCATGGGCAAACAAAGAACACCATTGCAAATACCGTTCACCGAGAACACAATGAGGAAATTCAACTTGTACTCCAAGAACCATGTGCTGGAGATCTTTCTACCCTGGCATGAAGGAGTAGCATTTGCTTCGGCCCTAACGTTTGGTTAGGAGTTGTGTGAGAAAAAATGTGACAGCAGACAGTCGGTAAACGCAATTATTGACCTATGCGAGAATTGCCGAATGATTCTCCAGCGTCCTGGCATCTCCCTGTCACCAATGTTCATGACTATCAAATGCTCGGGTTGTTGTTTCGCGCAGTCCGTTTCCAAATTCACAAAGTATCGTCAGAAGAAAGATACTGCTTCAAAGTGCCGGTAAATTTCTAACTTTCCAGCCACGTGTGAGCCGATTGTGGGCTCTAATACCCGTCAACAGTGTTACAATTCATCACGGAACTTGTCAGAAATACCCGGACACCAGCAGGAACGGCCTGCCGCTGCAAATGACTTCCAGAGTCTAAAATGAAATGCGGTGGCTGCTGTGTGTTTCCTAAAGATAACGGGACTGGACAGTATATTTTAATGCCTGTGCTCAATAACCCTTGCCAGGGTACTGACGGGTGATGCGTGGCTGAATGGTGGGAAGCACTCAATTTTAACCTTCCATTTGCTCGAGATAGTACTCAATTTGTCCTGTCATTCGGTCGTTTTACACGCTTTCCTCATTTGTTGAGACACTTTACTCAGTGTTTTCTTACATGCCCTGCAACGGGTTCGCGTACCTGGCACCTAGTGCATTACAAAGATATCGCCCTGAGCTTTAATTGTCAGCACCGTGATTGATCATGACCTCTAGTCGCGCAAAATGTCGGCCACGAAATCTCATCAAACGAAAGACAAATAACGTAATTGGTGATTCGGTTTGAAACAGCCTACGATATCCGTTATTCGGCAGCCGGTCCCGTTGGTCATGGTTTTGTGCAGGGAGCGGCCGGAGACTTACTGTGATCTCATTCCCTGTGGGTGCGAGCTGATTTTTCGCCTGCGTTTCAAACCACTTGAGACATCTGCCCTGCTTTCCCCGTCTCCTCAGCAATGCCGTATCGTTGGTGTACAAGGTCCCTTGAGATCGGAGTTCCGACGTCTTGACGGAGTTCCGAGAACTTCGATGGGCTGAGAACGCGTTCAGGCTCGGCGTTTTGTCCCGTAGCCTTAGTTAACACAGTCTGTTCGCATTATGTTCCGCACATCACGGTAACGCATTCCGAAACATTCATCACATTTGAAATGCGAATCGAGCCAGTGCAATGCAAATGACGAAAGGAAGATATGCCCGTGCTTTTGATCCGCCGGTTGCACTTTTGCACTTTTGATCCGCCGGTTGCATTTGCACTGTGCACCTTGGTCGTTGTTCTACTGTGTCTTGGTTACTTGGCCAGACCGCAGGCTACGTAAACAGAGTTCCCTTCTTCACGGCACGCCTGTCATAAAAAGGCGATCAGATAATACGAAGATGGAAAAGCCTGATGGGGATCTAGCGGAGAAGGTGACACTCTTAGGAAATTGGAATGGAAGATCTTGAACGAAAGTAACGAAAGGGGAGGGGAGGACGACATGGCGGAAGACGAAAAGGAGGAGGCAAAAGATGCGACGGAGAAGGAAAACACGGAGGTTGGGGCGGAGAAAGAAAAATAGGAGGACGCGGTGGAGAAGAGAAAGGAGATGAGGACGAAGTGGGAAATGAGGAAGAGGAAGAGGAGGCGGAGGAGGATTTGAGGAAGGGAAGGAGATGGAGGTGGAGGAGGAGGAGCATGAGCATGAAGAGGACGAGGAGCAGGCGCAGGAGCAGGAGGATCAGGAGAGGAAGAAGCGGAGAAGGAAGAGGCGCCTTCCGGTGCCGTACTCTGACCGTCGGATTGATTGCCTGGGGCCATCTTGGCATGGCCTACCCCTGCAGGGCCTGCGCCGTGCTCGACGTCTCTCGTGCGTCCAGTCATCCATGGAAGCCGATCATCGCGCTAGACTGACTCCCCCTCCATTGC